CCTGCCAAAAGTTTTGTTCAATCATGAATAGTAGTGCGAGTCGAAAACAAGCGTTAAAGCCTTTAATATGTCTTCAAATATAAATAAACATCTCGTTGATATTTTCAGTAGTAAATGGTACCAATAACAGCACATTTGAGCATTGCCATTGTAGTGGATAAAATGGTCATTTTTTCCGTGCAGTACTGTACGGATTATACGCTCCTTACCGGTTAAGAGTTTGGCCGAGAGTTGTCTCCTTCCCTTTCTGGCCTAGTGCTGTTCTTTTCTACTTTGCGCCGGTTAAACTGAAAGTCACATAGCTAGAGAAACTAAACGAAGTATACTTAAAGTAATAAATAAAACAACATTGATAATCACTACTGTTTCTCTGGCAGGTAGGTAATAAGGGCGAAAAAATGTTTCGCGTTTGTCAAAAATTGACAGCGCCAGACGTGAAACTTTCTATGTAATGATTAAACTGATAACGAGGAAATAAAATATACGTTAGGGTAAAAAGTAGATTAAATCATCACCTTCATACGGTCGTCAGTCCTAAGACTGATTGGACAGGCACCTCCACTCCTTTCTATCCTGAACTAATCTTCGTATTCCCTAAAACTAGAACATTCCACATCCTTTACTATCGAATTCTCTAATTTCCCTTCTTGCCTCATGGACTAGTTTAAATCCGGAGTGCTTTATCCTAGAGGACGCCATCATTGGAATTTGGTGTGCTTTTCCACATCGCAGTATTGTGCTAGAACAACCCATATCCATAACTATTTGCTAACAGGAATCTAATCTAGGTCTATCTATCTATAAAATTAAATTATTGTATTTGTCTAGATTTGTGTACCTGTACCTAATTCCTGTATCCCTCCCTCATTCCTTGCTCTGATACTGGGTAACTACTAGCGCTACCTACTCGAAATTTAAACAATTTAATTAGGTTTTGTTTTATTGTCCTTTTAGTCAAACAACAAAAAAGAGGCAGAAAAGCTCATAAAGAACATAATAAAAGTGGTAATAAAGCTGGGAGTCCTTCATCGGAACGGTTTGTTTTCTCAAGAGGAGCTCAAACATGCAGAACGTTTTCGTATAAAGTTTCGGATGGCAGCGATGGCCATCATCTCGTTTTACGAAGTCGACTTCAGTTACGATCGCAACTACATCCTGTCCGCCCTCAATGATTCACACAAGTGCCTGCAAATAATAGTTTCGAAGCACCTATCAGAAAAATCTTTAGCCAGAATCGATGATGTCTTTGGGTTTTTCACAAACGAGCAGTTCTTAGACGAACTGTTCAGTCCGAATTCGCAATACAGAGAGATTTTGGGAAAGATTGTGGCCGATCTGAACAAGGCCATATTTTGTAGGGGTGAATTGGGAGTTAAAATGTTTTATGGAGAAACAATGTTAATTTCTGCGAGCGAAAAACTAGTATGAACTGATAATTTACGCGATAAATTGGAAAAATAAAAAAAAAAACAATTGTTTTGTTAACTTTTATATTTTTATTTGGTGTTTTGTTCCTGTTTTTTTTTATTTCGTTTTTCCTTTTGCTTTTCAGGATCCCGTTTTGTTTTAAGTTATTGGATTTTATTTTTCTAGTCAAGAGATGTTCGAAACAGGTAAAGAGCTCGACTTCTTCAGCGATATTACAATTTGTTTAGTATTCTGCATGTAAACTGTTTTTTCAACTGTCGACTTGTTAGCTCTGTATCAACATGCAAAGGACACGGCAATGTAAGAAAACATTTTAAAGATCAAACATTCTACAACATTTCAATTTACGGTGCTATTTTCTACTGTTATATTTACGTCTATCTGATTTGTTGTTATTTTATTAAACGTGCTATAAAATTTCTTATTAGTCCTAACCATTGAGAAACGACAAACTTTTTAACAAATAAAAAATTATTATTGTTTAAGATACCTAGAAAGTTTAATTTTTATCAGATTACAGATAGTAGATTGCCATCTCTTAGTGATATTTGCTACCAAAATTACTTATTACTTTAGTTTTTGTTTAAATTGGAACAAATATTAATAAGAAATGTAAATCATACCTATGAAAAGATGCCTGCTGTTTTGTGTACAAATAATCAACAATATAAATATTAATTTTCGGGAGTGTTATCTTTTTAATAAAGTTATTACTGACTCACAGTTACAATTCTTCCTCTATTTAATTAATAACTTTTCGTATTTTTCTAATAACAGAGGATGACATTAAGTACTTTTGTGATAGTATAAAATCACCTATTGATATTACCATCATTACGTTTCGGATTTTAGGACTGTTTTTAANTCATCATAAGGTCGTCAGTCCTAAGACTGGTTGGACACGTACCTCCACTCTTTCCTATCCTGAGCTAAACTTCGCATTTCCCTAACACTAGAACAACTCACATCCTTAACTATTTGCGAACAGTAATCTAACCTAGGTCTACTCCTCCTAACTCCTGTTTCTGTCTCTAATATGTCTCTGACTAGACCTTCATGCCTGAGAAGGTGTCCTACCAACTTATCTCGCCGTTTTTTATTGACTTCCATAGAGTCTTCTGTTCTCCTATTCTTTGTAATACCTTTTCATTTCTAACCTTTCCTACCCACGTTATCCTCATCATTCGCCTATAACACCACATTTCTAACCTTTTATTTTCCGCCGCGCCCACTGTCCATGTTTCGCACCCGTACAACGCCGCGCTCCAAACATACACCTTTAACAATCTTTTTCGAATTTCTAAATTAACCGTTCGCGAGCATAGACGTGACTTCTTTTTATTAAAGGCGACACGACCCTGCGCTATCCTTTGCTTTATATCCCTACTACTCCTTCCGTCCTGACTCATCTGACTTCCTAGATATCAAAAATCAGCCACTTCTTCTAATTTTTCGTCTCCTATCTTTATATTCGCTCTTTCCCTACTTTNTTTACCTAACGACTTTCAGGAATTCGCTTAATAATTCTTTTATGACTAATAACATCCACACAATCTATGATTCATTCGTTGTTTTGCGTTTGTATTAAAAAATAGAAAGTCCATATTTCGGAAAGCGGTGTGTAAATTGTAATTTGATTGATTTTTTTATTGTTTGTTTGTTTGCTTGCTTGTGGTCTGTACCAGACGAACATTCGTAATAAAACCGCAAATACAAATAGGAGATGTGATGGTATAATGATGTAATTGTATTACACAGTTAAATAGCATAAAATGTTTACTTTCATCGTCGGTTTATACCTTCGCTTTCTTAGTCGTTTTACGGTATTTTAAATGTATTAAAATGATTTTAATTAAAATCTCTATCTGAAGGAATTTACTAGTTCAGACGATATCCTTGTTGGAAAAGTGGGGGTTGATGTACCTATTATTTAACGCAGTTCGGGGAGGGTAGGTCTTGTAAAATGTTACGGTGTAATGTAATGGAGGGACAAGGTGTAAAGCAGTGCGTTATATAACCTCATTGTTTTGTTAAAATTGGAAAAAATAGTATAATAAATTGATACTTCAGTTCTTTTCCGATATTTTGCGTAACATAGTTGACATTTTTAGGTGAAAATGGTCAGTTAGGTTTAGGCTGGGAAGTAATACAAATGACTACCCACTGTTGAACTTTGATACTTTTTTTTTTATGTATCAATTTCTTTTATTGTTTTTCGAATGGTTCGTTGTATATCAAGGGTTGATTTTAGAGCAGAAAGATTCAGCTCTAATAACAGAGATATGTAGGTATACTTTTGTTAATCTGTCTGCTTAAAGTTTAAAAAAATTACACTTTTTTTCGACTCGAACAGCTACCGTTATTACGAAGATCTCATTTGAGGAACAAAGAAATGTATACGAAACTTAATAATCAAATAATAAGTTTGTCTTACGTCATAAAAATTTTCTCTTTTTTGTACTAATCAAATCAGGAGTTTCTCTTAAAATAGGACTCATCAATTCTCAAAAATAATATTTTTTTGGTAACTTGACTATCAAGAAACTTTCTAAAATTTGTTGTCTTTGCTGTGATCTTTTATGATAAATCAACTTTCTGGAAGCCTGTGTTAATAATAATTTCAATGAAAGATACAAACAACGTCTTCATCATTGTCTAATTGTCGTTCCAAAATCAATTTTTGAAATAATGACCAAAAGAGGGCGCCTGCATTTCGCGGGTGAGTTACTTAACTAGTCTGTACTACTTATATGACCCCAAAGGACCTTATTGAGATTTTTTGAATCCCATAATAAGTACCTAGCAACAACAAGCTACAGTTACCATTCTGTATTTAATTAAAAAAAGTATGAATATAATTCTGTTTGCCTAATAATGAGCAAAATTGATTTTAGTCTTGCAGGCTTGACCTTAATCTTGCGAAAATGCAAAAAGACGAAAACTGTCTTTATACTAAAAAACCAAGACCAAAACAGAACGAACAAAACCAAGACTAAAACCAAGACCAAACAAACAGTACCAAGACTAAAACCAAGGCGAAATACATAAGATTAAACGAAAATTTATTACTTCCGATGGATTTGTGAGTTAAACTATTTAAAGCAACTTTAATATATTCTTTTCTTGGAACAAAACATTTTTAGTATTTAAAATTTTCAGTTTACTTTACTAGATTTAAACACTAAACCTGAAAAAAAGAAACTTTACTACTGTTTGAAAAAAGGGATCTACAAGAATGTGCTCGGATTAAATTATGTTCTTTGTGGCTATGCCTGGACAACATATGGTTCAAATATAAAGACAAACTAATTTTCTTTCGATATTTTTTTACTTCTTTCAAGTATCTTGTACCAATTTGTTCATTCAAGGTCAATTTATGCGTTGAAGGAAAGGTTAATTGGAGGAAGCGTGAGTTCTCGAGTTTTCACAACTATAGACGCTATTTTGTTTAAAAATCATGACATGCTCACAAGTAAGACAAAAAATTTCAATATTTAATACAAGTATTGCATCGGTAAATACTTAATAGAATTATTTAAAAAAACCTAAGTATCAGGTTAAATGAGCAGGACTTGGCATTCAAGACCAAGACTAAGACTAAAAGTATTTGAGCAAGACCAAGACCGAATAATTAAAACCAAAACCAATACTAAGACTGGAACAGTTTTGGTCTTGGCCTTACCTTGCTCATCACTACTTTTACCATTTTTTAGCAATTTGTTGTGGACGACACCTTGCGTACAGTGACAATTATTTAGACACTTATTAATCTTCTTTGATGCTACATGCCATTTAAAAATGTTCATTCAGTTAAACATAAAAAAAGTGAAGCGTTAGATAAGGGGAATAAATGGACTGGAAAACCAGGACGAATAAAACATAAAAGGAATGATGAACAGCCATTGGTGGGTTTTAATCCTCATGGATTTTGCGTGAGCTCTCTGTTANTATATTTACGTCTATCCAAGGTCAATTTATGCGTTGAAGGAAAGGTTAATTGGAGGAAGCGTGAGTTCTCGAGTTTTCACAACTATAGACGCTATTTTCTTTAAAAATCATGACATGCTCACAAGTAAGACAGAAAATTTCAATATTTAATACAATAATAGAATTATTTAAAAAAATCAAGTATCAGGTTAAATGAGCAGGACCAAGACTTAGCATTCAAGACCAAGACTAAGACAAAGTATTTGAGCGAGACCAAGACCGAATAATTAACACCAAAACCAATACTAAGACTGGGACAGTTTTGGTCTTGGCCTTACCTTGCTCATCACTACTTTTACCATTTTTTAACAATTTGTTGTGGACGTCACCTTGCGTACAGTGACAATTATTTAGACACTTATCAATCTTCTTTGATGCTACATGCCATTTAAAAATGTTCATTCAATTAAACATAAAAAAAAGGTGAAGCGTTAGATAAGGGGAATAAATGGACTGGAAAACCAGGACGAATAAAACATAAAAGGAAAGATTAACAGCCATTGGTGGGTTTTAATCCTCATGGATTTTGCGTGAGCTCTCTGTTACGTTAAAATGTACACCGTACACTGTTCTGGAAATGGAATTTTAAGCAGGTGGCGATTCAGAATTCATTCTAATGAAATGTTACTTTAGCTAATTGCAACTTGTACGCTATATTTTACGATACATAGAATGAGTCATGCGTGACTGTGTGTACAATCACACACGGCATTTCTGCATTAGTGGTTTCTGTTGAGCAATTTATTTTGCGGATACATCACTTCCGATATTGTAGTGAGGCTTACTGCTGTATGCATCATAAAAATGCGTTGGCAGTTGGGATTTCGCAAGAAAACGTTTCGAAAAGTTTTGCCTTAATGTTTGTTATTGATCAACGAAGTAAAATCATACAAAAAACTATAAACTGTATAACGCTATTAGAGACTTGTTTTCAAATATTGTAAAATACAATAATGTCTTGTTGATGAAGGAAATAAAATGATCATTATCATCATTATAAAGTCGTCAGTCTTAAGATTGGTTGGACACGCACCTCCACTGTTTCCTCTAGTGAGAAAATCTTTCAATTTCCTTGAAACCAGAACATTCCACATTCTTAACCACTTGTGAACAGTAAGCTAATCTAGATCTACCTCTACTCCTCTTATCTGCTGTTTCTGCTTCTAATATGTCTCCAACTAGCCCTTTATGTCTGAGATGAGATGAGATTCCTCATTAACATCTTTAGTGCCCACTGCTCTACAACTCTTTCTAATACCTTCTCTATCCACGGTATCCTCATCATCGGCCTGCAACACCACATTTCAAAACCG